AATGAGAGAGAGTGAAAGCCTTTCGCCAATCTATTTTAATTCCCTACGAAAGATGAAAGCAATTCTGTAATTAGAATAATGTAATAAGAATTTCGGGAACAACCCGTAATTAAACCGTCATCAAAAGAAATTCGAAAACCAAATTAATTTTTTAATTATTCCTGATTCACAAATGAAGAAATACAGTAGTCGATTGATTATATTTATCGGTCTCCATACCCTCTAATGAACTCGTCTTAAAAACGATCGATCGATTGAGTTGACGCCCGACAATCAACCGGTCCCCCAAATAACACCAATACGGTGTGCACAGGTGCGATAGTACAATCAACCGATATTCAGAGGAAATAGGTCATTGTACTTGACTCAAAAAAAAATACCTTGATCAATTTGTCATGGTCTACCATCGACGTATCACCTGTTTGTTGGGAAAAGATCAATACAACGAAAAAATACACGCGAATTTCAGAAGTAGAGTTATAACAAAAAAAAAATTGAAGCATTTTTTTTACCACCCTTCGGCTGTATCTCGTCTGAGAGAACGGGAGGGGGTGAGGGGGTTGTAGGGGTGGGTGCTTGGAAGCGGGTAACGACTTGACCTTGGCTGGATTCACGCGTAGCTGAACTAACGCAAAATCGAAACGCGTTACTTCCACCGTGTGGATACCCTAAAGCCGGATTCACATCGCAGGAGACGGTGGAGGGAATCCCTTCGTTCACCCCCCTCGTCACCCCCGGTTTTGAGAGGGTGTGCGACCCCCAGGACAACCGTACACTTTATTCCAAAGTCGAGAGCTCGGGATTGCCGGATATTTAGAAATTTAAGGCGGTGGATGCAGAATCTTCAGAAAATCGGGAGACGAAAGGATCAATTTTTTGTACAAAGAAAAATATTCAGGGAAAATTATAAAATCAATTTTGATTACCGATTTAATTCGGAATTAATTCGTTAATTTTAGGGGATGCTCTCCTGGGTGTTTAAATTACAAGATTTTTTTTTTCGGAGAAAAAATAAATTTTTGCGCGAATTTTCACAGGAGATTCAATGGGGATATAAAATCGGTGCGAGTTTGAGGAGAAATCTCCGATTTTTGTGGAATAAAAATGGATTCAAGTTCTCATGCATGCTCGGTATCGTTTGATACAGTGAGAATTCGTTCCTGAATGGAACTGAAGTGTGAGCGCGCATGTTCTGACGCGTGTTCTCAAATGTGTCGAGTGTACTTGATCGTTAACATTAGGCACTTTACCTCCCATTGGAAGACATTGGTTGAGAGTACAGTAGCACGTTCCCAGTACCTTGCCGCTCTCATTTACTCATTTCCCTTTCGAGGGTTTTTTTTTTAACGCTCAAAGAAGAAGACGGAGACCAACGGCCACCGATGGAGCGACAGAGACCCGGGGGGTGGAAGAGGGTGAGTCACCCGTGGGGTCAGTCTCCCGTGGATAATACGACGGCCTTCTGCCCCCTCGTCTATACGCGTGACTAGATAACATTTTGCACAAAGAGGGACAAACGCCAATTATATTTTAATAAGTCTCTCCCCGACGAGAGTCGAACAAAAAATATTAAATCTCGAAAAATTCAAGAATACAAATTGATGGACTTGCAAAATTATTTCCTCCACTGCTGTGGAGCCCAAAAATCACTCAAAAATATTTTAAACATGAATAAATAAATAGATAAAAAAAGGATAAATAAATTAATTGAAAAATTTATTTTGCCGTCGATCGGGCGCTTCATCCCTTCAAATAATCATCCCTCAAAAATATAAAATATCATCGACTCTAACCCCAAACAATGGAAATAAAAAATAAAATGAAAATGAGACACGTTTTCACGGAGAGTCGGTCTCCATCTGACGCGCAGGCGATTCCCCGCACATCCAGAGACAACAATAATCCCCGTGATAAGCGCTTGCGCATTGATACGATACTGAGCGCCCCCGAGAGTGTCTTCCACGCGGTTGAGCATCTCCACCATTCAGAATCGATGATGTCACGTAGAGAGGGGGACCGGGGCAGCACAATTCTGCCCCACTACCTCCATCGGCTGAGCTCCACCACGTGGGGGGAGCATCGAAGACCTCCCATTGGCCATCGCCAGCGCTCCACCACCCCTCACCTATATTTATCCCCTCCCGTCCTGATCCAACTCCGACTCAGGGTAACCGAGCGAGACGGAAATACCCCGAAAGAGGAGGGAGAAAAAAAAAAAATAAAGAGGCGGAGAGGGAGGACTTGGTGCATGTGTGCGAGAATTCCGAAGGATTTCTAGGGGGTGTTTGCGTCCGCGCCAAAACGCCACGCGACTCCGTGCCGACGGCACCTCGGGAGCCACCACTCATAGCCTCCACGTCGTGCACTTCGGGTACACGCGCGCGATTTACTCGATATCATACCTGATTACCCCGCGGAGGCCAAGTGTTTTCAAGACCCGAGTTTGTGACATCAATTTGAAATAATAATCATGAGATAACAGAAACGATTGCATCCGACATTGTGCGGTTTATTCATTACCATCGATCGTTATTATATACCCACAACTGTGATTTACTGAACTGTGATTTTCGTGAGACTGTGAGGAGGATCTGGGAGACACCTGCGGCCAAATCTTGGTGAGTTCTCATCCGTTGATTTGACGCATTGTCAAAGGGTTGGAGGGTTGAATAATTAGGTAATAAAACGCGTGAAATTCACCGTGAAGCCCTGTAAAAATGCACACGAGTGTCACTGACACCCTGGGGTGCCCGTCAGGTTGGCCAGTGTGAGGGTGTCCTTTGAGAGGCTCCATCCAACTATTTTCTTTCCCTCTCGATTTCGTTCCCCGGAGTTTCGCGTTGGAAAAATTACTCGGGGTGTATGGAATCATCTCCGTCGGATCAACTCGCACCCTGGTGCGAGGTACAGATCTTCAATCGACCATGCAGACCCCCCCAGACGCACGATAATCTCCAAAATCCAACGTACAAGTAAATCCCAAAAAAATGGCATTCACCGTCTCAAAAAAAAATAATAATCAGTAACGAGAGGATAGTCTCATTTTTCTCAATACTCACCCCCTCCCTCTATTCCAGCTATATTTTTATTCCATTTTATTTCCACTTTCGTTCCATTTTATCCTAATAAAATTTATTAATTATACGCGGAGATAATAGCTACCCACTCATTTAATGCAATCCCCGGTGAAATAGTGAGAAGCGCGAAGATCCGGTATGACAACTCATTTATGTTTCCCTCTTCGGCTTCTGCCCACATGAGGGGATGGAATCCTCCATCCTCTATAACCCTCTCAGGGTGGGTGTCATGTACAACGAAAGCGACGACATGGAACGCGGACTCGGTTATTATCCACATTATTACGCGTTCATGGTAATAGGCACCATACATGGGAGAACTCGGTGTGCCACATTGTGCTCCAACAGTTCCGGAAAATTTACCGTTAATGATGTACCTCTTGAACGAGTACTATCAACCGAATAAAGACAGACACAGCACCAAAAGGACTGACATTCCCTTTTATCCCATACAACCCACCACTCATATCCCTTCAGATCATTGTCATCTGTATTATCATCTGTATTATTTATCCCACGATTTATCCATTCGACGTAAATTAACCTCGGCTGAGCATTCAATTAAATCATTTATGCAACTTGGTATTGTATCGTCACTGTCAATTAACCCGCATGCAAATTCAGGAGTGAAAAAAAATATTTTCAGAGGTAATACGAGGACAAACCATTTCATAATCCTTTTAATTGACTTCGTGTAATGATTAAATGAAACACATGCGACATGTGTGACATAAATTACTGATAAAATTGAGGTTAATAATGAGTACACAGAGAAAAAAAAAAATTGGGTAGGTGAAAATTTATCATCTCAGAAAGCCGGTTTAAAAATAAAAACCGGTGTTTATTTTTTTATTCGAAAAATTTGATATTTTCCATAGATAAATCAATTTTCCAATCTCATCAATAAAATTCTGCATCAATAAATATTGGCCGTCAGTACATACAGACCACCGGGAAAGTCGAGGACAAATTCTTGTATTGGGATTAAAAGGTACATGACGAGCGACACAATCTGGAAAGTGACAATATCCATTCGATCGCTGACGCACACTCGCGGTTTGTAATTATCACGAAGTACAATGGACGCTCGACTTGCGATTTGATTGGACAACTGAATCCTCGGTGAATTGATATAATATTTACAACTGAGGTGAATTTAGCGATAGCAGAGGGAGTGAAAGATAGTGGGGCGGCTAAATCGACAGCTTGGCGTCTTGTAAACACAAGCCGGCGCGATTCTGTTTGCGCTCGCTCGGGCATAATCCCGAGTAATCCTCTTGCACAATACGCCCGGTGATGTACTCCCTGGATTTTACCTTTTTTTTTTACATCATCCAATCCCTCTTCGCTTCATCCTTCTTTTCGCACTCAATTTCCTCGGAGGGGAGAAGAGAAAAAAAAAACAGAGGATTGTTTCGAGGCGCGGAATCCACTCGCTTTATGGGATTCGGGTTTGAGGTATCGCAAGCTCTTCGGTACTCACTAATTATCGCACTTGAACGTGTGCCACTGCAATCGTTACTACTCTCAAGAGTTACGATAGCTGCACTCCGGTGGATGCAGAAAAAAAAAACAAAATTTACCCGATGACTGGAGGAAATTCTCGGGTAATTACGGACGAATCGATGATGTTTGTTACGGTCTATTGAGAGGTGGAGGTTCACTGAACCCTTAGGCAGAGGCAAATCGTGTGTCAAGGGACAATGAATATTTCAGTTGATTCTGGTGTAACTCGCGTCAAGTGTCAGTCAATTGACACAGCTGTAATTAGTCAAGGTCGATTGAACTTATCAAATTTCTTGTGAGCATAATATGGTATCGGCTGATGTTGGAATCTCATTTTCATGGAAGATTTATTACTGGTGATGGAATTAATTGGATTTTTCTTTTTTTTTTTTTTTCAGTGAAGAAAAGAGTCGAAAGGCCCGAAGATTCTGCCTTCGCAGCAATTGGGCGCTGCGGTCGCTCCATGGCCGGGCGCGACTGGCCTCCTGGCCTCTGTTACCGCTGACGATATGGCACATAAAGGTCAGTAAATACTGTAATTACAATATTCCCCCAAAATGTACCCATTTCAATTGAACTGATAAGACAGAACTTAATTCCACACCTGCCACCACGCGATTCACGAAGAAAATATCGTTTTACGGTACCAAAAAAGTACTTCTTGCTGAATATTTATCAAATAATTACAGTAATGATGTAATAATACGTCATTGTAATCATACTCGTGAGAAAGTTTTTTTTTTGTATGTGTAGCATGTACAATTTTAGATTTATTTCCGGTGTCTTATTGGATCACCGATAAGTCCGAACATAACGAACGCGTTTTGACGTCATCGGATTTTTTGTTAATTTTTTTATAAACGGGATAACGAAAATAACTGGTTTTATTCTCAATCCCTCCAAGTCTCGGAGATAGTGCATTTTATCAGTCCGCACTGCAGTTTTTATTGTCCAACACTCGAATTTTTACGGTTCTCTGGCACTGAACCCACACAGCGACAAAAAGATTATTGATGTTAAAAGCAAAGTTCCAACATTCGACAACCTATTTCCAGCGATCAATAAATAAAAAAAAAATAATATAGATAATTGAGGACAGAGTAAACCAATAAATTTCATATACACCTGAAAAATAAAAAAAAATCATTTCCGGTGAATAAATTATCTTGACAGAGATCATCGCATCTCGGTGCAGTTGAATTCCGCGAATACAATGAATCTTGAAAGTAGTTTAATGAGGGGTACCAAGGCGTATAAAATACCGTGAATCCACAAGTGAGTAAACATCCCAAGATAGACGATGTCAGTAGTGGGTTTCAGCTGAATGGATATGATTCTCGAGGCGCGTTCAGGGTGCTTGAAAATCGCCCGAGTTATCTGACCGAGTGAGCGCAAGTCCACTGGGGTGTGTAGCGTTAAGTTGCCGCGATCATTGAATCAAGTACCGCGACATGCTGGCCCAAATATCACAAACAATATCCAACCCCCCGAAATCCTCCACGCCCCCC